CCTTTGCCACAAAAAAACTCTCCTTTTAGGGTCTTCCTTGTAATTTTCACCAACATAAGGGATAAGTTGCGAAAACAGGTCCCTCCTTGAAGAAAACCCCTCGCATAAGTCCCGCGCCTCCGTTAGTCCGCCACTACCCCAAACTCCGGTGACAAAACCCTAAACCCTTCCCGTTAGTACTCACTACTCACACCGTCTCCCGGCGCCTCCTCAGATTTCCTCGCCATGGCGGAAGACAAAGAGGATAAATCGTTCAAAGACTTGGGCGTGAACGAACAACTAGCCGACGCGTGCGACAATCTCGGCTGGAAGAACCCTACAAAGATACAGGTGGAAGCCATACCTCTTGCTCTGGAGGGAAAGGACATAATCGGGCTCGCCCAGACCGGGTCGGGTAAAACCGGCGCCTTCGCGATTCCGATTCTGCAGGCGCTTCTCGAGGCCCCGCAGGCTTTCTTCGCCTGCGTGCTTTCTCCCACTCGTGAGCTCGCCATTCAAATCGCTGAGCAGTTCGAAGCCTTGGGGTCGGGAATTGGGGTCAAATGCGCAGTGGTAAAATATCACATTCGAAGAAAATTGTTTTATGAATGCAGTTGGTAATGAGTTTTCTTATTGCTAATTTGGATTTAAATGATCCCGTTGCAGCTTGTGGGAGGCGTGGACCTGGTCCAGCAGAGCAATGCCCTTGCCAGGCGGCCAAACATTGTGGTGAGTATTGTTTTTTCACTCGGTGATTGAGCCTCGTTAGGAATACTGGTAGTGTTTAGGAACTCTATCGAGTAATATTGAGATAGAGAAAATGTGGCAAAAACTATTCGTGAACATTGATAGCCGCTTGGCCTACCATAGTGCACATCTTGCGGCTTGGCCTACCATAGTGCACATCTTGTGGTCTGCCGAATGAGTGTAGGAATAATTTAATCGATCTTTTATTCGTCTAATTTTATGGTCAGTTCTATATAATAATGATTGATTATCAGTAGCAATTAGCGTTGCCGTGTTGGTATGGACGTTTTTATTATTCTTTGGAGGGTGGGGTGGGGAGGTGATGGGCTGGAGAAAAAATGATAACTTTGGATGCTCCTTGCGTTTTAATTCATTTGTGTGAAGGCTTTTCTGATATTAATGGGAGCGAAAATTCTCAATTTTTGTGTTATGTAGAGTGACAAGCCATTTTTGGGTTGGTCTTTTTGCTAGGTTGACGGTTTTATAATTGTGATCTTATATGGTTTGTATGTTATATTAATTAAGGCACTTTCACGAGCTCCTCCCTTATATGTGGATGTGTTTTGTCTTTTATCTTGTAGGTTGCTACACCTGGCCGTCTTGTTGATCATCTGTCCAATACCAAGGGTTTCACTTTGCGTACACTGAAATACTTGGTAAGAATTCTTTGGATTATAATTTTAGCTCGATTACTACGTGTATCTGTTTGTGAGTTGGCAGTAATTTATAAAACTATGCCTGTATGGGTTTCTTGATTTAGATAGAAGCTGTAAATTGCTGCATTCACTGTATTTTTTTCTTGACTATGTGATATTGTTAACAAGTGTAGAACATTGGAATATGAAACGGTCAGAAGTATGCTCATTTGGATGCCAATACGGCGCTTTGTAGTATGTGTAATGTGTTAGGATTAGAGATTTTTGGTTTTTAACTGTTTAAGTAGAGTAGATATGACATGATAAATCTGTTGCTTACATTATTGGTAAAAAAATTTGGCAGGTACTGGATGAAGCAGATAGATTGCTTAATGATGATTTTGAGAAAGCAATTGATGAAATACTAAATGTTATCCCTCGTGAACGGAGGACATATCTATTTTCTGCAACCATGACCAAAAAGGTACATGTAGCTATCGTCTAATGCATATGTGCAGTCTTCTGTGCATGCATACACAAGAAGGAAAGTAAATGAATGAGACTGTGATTATGATGAGATTAGTTTCTTCTTGAATTCATGGAGTTGTTTGTGTGTAACTTATTTGTTCCCTATGTAGCATGAATTTATAAATTATAATCAGCGGTCCTTAAAATTTACAGGTGAAAAAGCTACAAAGAGCTTGTCTGAGAAATCCTGTTAAGGTACTGCATTTTCTGTCGCTTCCTTGTAAGATCTTGACAATGTTAATGTTTATTCTTTTCTTTTTGTTGGGGGTCTAATCTTTTATTTTTGTTCGACTACAGATTGAAGCTGCTTCAAAATATTCTACTGTCGATACGCTTAAGCAGCAGTATTGTTTTGTTCCTGCAAAGTACAAGGTCAGTATATGACCCTTTTTAGCATGGTTACCTAAATAATTGTGTTTACCTAACATCTGAAATGATTTTACTTCCTTTTGTTCCCTTTGCTCCAGGATTGTTACCTTGTCTACATTTTGACCGAAATGTTAGACAGGACATCTATGGTTTTCACTCGAACGTGTGATGCCACTACACTCTTGGCCCATATTCTTCGAACCCTTGGCTTTGCAGCAATTCCAATTAACGGCCATATGACCCAGGTAATGTTTTTGGATAATCCAGTTATGTGCTGGAGTTCCAGTGTATACATTCAATATCCCATGAGATCGAGTCTCCACTTTTTNCTGGTCTAAGTTTTTGAAATGTGTTAATAGGATTATATACATAGGGTGGGGAGAACAGCTCGTGCAGGACGATCGGGTGTGGCGATATCCATTGTGAATCAGTATGAGCTGGAGTGGTATTTGCAGATCGAGAAGCTCATTGGTAATCAAAAGAAGCTTTATGACATAGTGTCACGGTACAAAAAAAAAAACATCTCAATTGATAATCTTCAAAATCTTGACAATACATCACTGTTTGCATCAGGTAAAAAGCTGCCCGAGTATCCAGCTCAGGAAGAAGAGGTTTTGTTGCTACTGGAACGCGTTCAGGAGGCCAAACGAATATCTCAAATGGTGAGCGGTTGATTATTTATCCTCTTTTTAATAATAATAATAATAAAAAAGGTGCTTTGAGTATGAATTGTTCGAGTTCACATGGTTTTGCAGGCAATTAAGGAAGGTGGAGGCAAGAAGAGGAGAAAGGGTGATGGTGATGATGATGATGGTGAAGATGAAATCAAAAAGTATTTGGGCCTTAATAAAGGGAAAGGGAAAGGAAAAGGGAAATCGTCCAAGAAGGCGAAAAGAAGGTGACTGGAGATTCATCCATGAATTTTGATGTATTTAATCTTGATTTCATTCAGTTTTGTGTTGATTTAACTTGTGTGACAGTAGAGTTGAAAACGAAAAAATGCTCTGGAAATTTTTGTCAAACATGGACAATCATATAAAACTACTTTTTTGTGGTTGATTTGGAAAGAAAATGGATTGAAATGTCAAAAAATTTTGTAGGAATTTCGAAATTTGGTATTTTACATTTTATATACGATAATTGGTATTACTGATCCACACAATACTTTTTTTTTTTTAATTTTTTTGGTTCCGTATGACTCAATTTTTGCATATATGCTGATTTTGTCATTCAAGTTTTAGAATTTACATAAATAATAATCTATTGATAATTTACATATTTATGAGAAAGACAATCTGAATAAATGAAATAATAGTTCTTTTTTCTTTTTTGTATTTTGCGTTTGAAAATTAATTAATTGTTAATTATTTGTTATTACTGATTTTCGTTTGCACTAATACTTGTCTGATTCGTTGGCTTATTTATTTATTTATATTTCATACTCGCGTTTGCACTAATACTTGTCTGACTCGTTGGCTTATTTATTTATTTATATTTCATACTCGAGTATGGGGTCAGACTTCTTGTACATGTGGCAAATAAATAGACTTAAGTCTATAATGACATGGAGAAAGCCAAATGAAAAAATTCAAAATCTATCAAATGCAAAAAAAGTACTAGGTCTAGAATATCTAACAACCAATAAAAATATAATAATAGTAAATGATTGCTATTGTAAGGTTCACACTTAGGTTCAAAATAGACTCAAGAGTGGACTTGGTCTTTTTTTTTATTACCACATAAGTTAAACTAGGTCAACTTTTAATTGTATTGTGAAACATTTTTTTATAGACTAAGTCTATTTCTTACATGACATGCGATTTTTTTTAGACGTTAACATTGTGGGTGCTCTTAACAAAACATGCTTCTAAATTAATTCGTTATATTCACAAGTTGAATTTAAACGTTAACATGCCAAACTCAATTCTTAATCTCAGTTCTTTATTTAGAGCCAACGAGGGATTCGCTTCGCTAATAATTCTAACTCTAAAACAATTTTTCATGAAAAATGCTACAAGTACATAATAATGTACATAAAGGTATATATAACACTCACGTGGAGTGGAGTCTACTTGATTTTTCATTTTGAAAAATGCTACAAGTACATAATAAATGTACATAGAGGTGGTGTACATAACACTCACATGGAGTGGGGTCCACTTACTTTTATATTTTTGGTAAGACTCACTCAATGTGAGTGTTATGTACACTTTTATGTATGTTATTATGTACCTATAGTATTATTCTTTCATTTGTGGTGGGTGTCACTCTAGGTGAGTGTTATGTACACCTCTATGTATAATATTATTATTTATAGCATTTTTTATTTTTTATTTATTTCTTGGAAAATATTGGGTGTTGCTAAATACCGCACCCTTTTTGCTAAATACGCACCCCAATTTACATTTTTGCCCTTTTTATATAAAAAAAAAAAAAATAATCGAATTAAATTGGCACAAACAGCTCACAACATATATATCACATTGCTCACATATAACATAAAAGAAAAAAATTTTTGTGTTAATACAAACATAAAAAATAATTCAAAACATAAAAAAATTGTAATAAATTCGAAAAAAACCGAAAAAAAGGCAATTTAATTCGGAAAAAAAGGGCAACTTCAAAACATCACAGGTAAGTTTTTTTTTTTTTTCGTT